ACTTGTACATCAGCTGACTCCGCCCCCACAGCCACACCCACCTGCACATCAGCTCTGACTCCACCCCCATGGCCACACCCACTTGTACATCAGCTCTGACTCCTGCCTCAGCAGCAGCTGCTTCTCATGGATGAGCTGGAACCAGGCCACCATGAGCCTGTCTTCGGAGGCATCTGTGGAGGGGAGCAGGCTGGGTGGGGGTCTGCTCTGGGCCCAGGGCCATGGACTCAAGCTAGCACTTGTGCCCCAGGGGTGCACTAGCCTGGGCTAGCCTTGGGCTTAGAGACGCAGACCGGGGGTGGCCTAGGCCAGGGCCATAGGGCCCCATGGGTGTGCAGAGGCCAAGGGGGGGTGGGCAGGCCATGGCGGGGGTGGGCAAGTGTGGCGGCTTTGGGCTCCTACACTGCGCCTGGGTGGGTCTGGGCCAGCGTGGCTCCCACACCCTGCGCCTGGTGGTGGCTCCCACACCCTGCGCCTGGTGGGTCTGGGCCAGCCATGGCTCCCGCAGCCTGCACCTGGGTGGGGGCTCCCACACCCTGCGCCTGGTGGGTCTGGGCTGGCTGCGGCTCCCACACCCTGTACCTAGGTGGTGGCTCCCACACCCTGTGTCTGGGTGGGTCTGGGCCAGCGTGGCTCCCACACCCTGTACCTAGGTGGTGGCTCCCACACCCTGTGTCTGGGTGGGTCTGGGCCAACGTGGCTCCCACACCCTGTACCTAGGTGGGGGCTCCCACACCCTGCGCCTGGTGGGTCTGGGCTGGCTGCGGCTCCCACACCCTGCGCCTGGTGGGTCTGGGCTGGCTGCGGCTCCCACACCCTGTACCTAGGTGGTGGCTCCCACACCCTGCGTCTGGGTGGGTCTGAGCCAGCCATGGCTCTCGCAGCCTGCACCTGGGTGGGGGCTCACGCAGCCTGCACCTGGGTGGGGGCTCCCGCAGCCTGCGCCTGGTGGGTCTGGGCTGGCTGCGGCTCCCACACAGCCAGCAGGCAGGTGGTCTCACCTCCCTCGGCCGCCCGCAGCTGCTGCTCCAGCTCCACGCCCCTGAGCTCCAGTGCGTCCAGCTGCTTCTCGATGCCCTGCACCTGCCGCTGGATCTCCTCCTGGGGCACGTGCTCTGGGGGAGGCTGCAGACAAGGGACGGTCAGGGCCGCCCGGAGCAGGCAGGCCTCTCCCACCCCCGCCACCGCCAGCCCACTCACCCTCAACGAGGCCTTGCGGGACGGGGCAGGGATGCCGGCCGGACCCAGGGGTCTCCCTGTGGAGGGGTGAGATGAGTGGCTAAGACGAGCCCACTGGCAGACCCCTGATGCCCTCTGCTGCGCTCCACCCCCTGCCCCCCTGTCCCCCTGCCCCAGCCCAGTAGGCACCTCGGCAGCCCCCAGGGCTGAGGTCCCAGTGGTGAGAGTTCACAGAGGAGACCCCATCCACATGAAAGCCCCCAAAGCCCCTCCTCTCGTCAGTTGTCCCCCAGGCCCCTATAGCTGCCAGAAGGGGTTGCACCATTGTACTAGGCATGGATGACCACAGGGGCCAAGAAGCCTGTCCAGTCCCACCTCCACCCTCAAGAGGAAAGGTCTGCCTTAAAGGCAGCTAGGTCTCCGGGCCCCCTCACCCCACCTCCAAATTGGCCAAGCCTCCAGGTCCCTCCCCTTGGACCTCCCTCCCTCTAGTTCTAGGCTCAGTGAACTCCTATTGACCCTTCAAATCCCTGCTCAGCAGGAGCTCCTCCATCCATGAGAGCCGCGTTTGGGGCTGACCTGGCTTGTCCCGAGGGTGGGCTTCTGCCTCCTTCCGGCTGGGGGTCGGGGCTTCCTGCTTCGAGGGCTCGGGTAACAGCCAGGCCCCACTCACGTCCAGGCTGGCAGGGACAACCAGCCTCCTGCGGGGGGACGGGGAGGGGGATGCGGCTGCCCGCAGGGGGAGGGCGGTGAGTGTCAGGCCAGCGGCCAGAGGCCCTCCCCACCTCTCACTGCTGCCCTGAGCCTGGAGCCCACCGGGGAGTGTCATGGGGCCAGTGTCCCAAAGGACAGAGGCCAGCCCCTCACCCATGCTCTCCCTTACTGGCCACACCCACCAGGGAGGCAGAGTGTGATGCTCAGGGAAGAAACGTGAGGCCACCCAGGGCCATCCACTCCTCCCACTGAGCGGGGCAGCTCCTGCCCTCCTGCCCAGCCCCTAGGCTCCCAGACAGCTGCCCCCAAGAGGAGGACTGCCTGGCCCCAGGCTCCCTGGCCAGACAGGTGGGCAGCTGGAGCCCCTGGGGTCCCATCCAGTTACCTGAGACATTGGGTCCAGAGGTCCTGTCAGGCTGCACGAGGGTCAGTGTGATGCAGACACCCCCCTCGGAGCTCCCTGACACCACCTTGGGTGCATCCCCCACCTTCAACTCTTTGGGGGCCTGGGGCCCCTTCCGCTCCACAGACCTGCACAGAAAGGAGGGGGTGAGCCCCTGTACCTGTCACCCCCAGGCCTGGACCACTGATGGGCACCCAAAGCCAGGTGAAAGTACGCCTTCGAGTGACACGCCCACAAGGGACATGCCTGTGAGGGACACATCGGCCCCATGTCAAGGAAGGGCCTCTCTTCCTCTGATGGGCACCCATCACTGTGCTCACCGACCTGGATGCTTCTAGATGCCCAGAGGGTACAAGGGATGTCATACTACCTGTGCCCCCACTTCCACTGGCGTGCACCTGCTCAGAGGGCCACAGGTAAGCCATGCCCAGGCTCAGGTCCAGGCCCGGTGTGCATGGGTGTTGATGGTGCCCCCTCGACCTGGGTGTGTGCTGAGAAGCCAGGTGGGACAAAGCAGTCAGGGTGGGGTGACCCAGGGACGCTCTTGTGCCCCACTCCCTGGGCACTGTAACCAGCTCAGAGCTGTGAGGGGTTCCACAGAAGATGGAATGAGCCTGCCCTATCTGCAGTGTTCCCGTCACAGGAGCAGACATGTCATTTAATGACGTCCCATGTCACTGTGGCTGCATGACCCGGCTTCTGTGCCCTGATGCTTAGGTACAGGGATGTGCAGACATCGGACGACAACGTGTGCTGTCATTCCTCCACAGGCATCTGAGTGCCTACTGTGTGCCAGGCCCATGCTCGGGTCAGTATGTCAAGTGGATTCCAACTCATGGCCCACGTGTGTCAGAGCAGAACCGTCCCCCGGGTTTGGCCGCCATCTTTCAGAGATTTCCAGGCCTTCCTTCCAAGGCACCAGTGGGTGGGTTTGAACCACCACCGTTTTGGCCGGTAGCTGAGCGTTTAACCGTCTGTGACACCAGGGGCTCCTTTGCGCCTCTATTCTGCTTAAAAGTGACCAAGGCCCTGTACCCACCCTGGGGCTTCAGAAACCTGCTCAAACAAAACCCACAGGTAGAGGCCATTCGCGGGTCTGGGCAGGTGGACCCCCGTACCCGCCCACTGCCCTCACCTCTCAGCGGGGCTGCCCTTCTCCACAGGTTTCAGGCGGGCCCTCCACCCCGCCGGGCCCTCCTGGGGGCTGGCGCTCGGACCTGGTGGGGGCAGAGAGATAATCAGACAGAGACGTGTGGCCAAGGAAGCCCTCACCCCATCTTCCCATGGCCGCCCCCCCCGACACGCCCGCAGCGCCACGGGAGGAGCACTGGACTGGGAGTCCAGACACAGGTGTTCACTCCCAGGGACAGCTGCCCCTTCTCCAGGCCCTGGGTGCCCCTCCAGCCCAAGGCGAGGGGCTGGGCAGCCCCGGTAGGCGGGCTCTCTGGTCCATGCAGGGTCAGCAGTGGGTCCAGCAGCTTACCTCCACCTGCTTTGGTTAACATCCCAGAGTGGCTTTGATGGCAAGAGCCACTCCGGGAAGCCCCGGGCACTTCAAGACACGCAGGTGCCCAGCAAGTAACGAGCACCCCACTGGTGGAGACGTGGGCTTTTCTAACATGAGTCCAGGGACAGAAGCCATCCAGGGAGACCTCCCCCTGCCTGTGGGGGCTTCCTGAGCCCCTCGGAGGATGGCATGGCACGGTCCAGAGCCGAGGACGGCAGCTCCAGCCTGCCTGGCACCCAAAAACCAGGACACTCAGCCGAGTCCAAAATGCAGCCCTGACCAAGCAGGAAGCGCCCAGGGCTGGTTTGCAGGGTGGGTGGCTGGATGGGACGTCACAGCACAAGCCTGCAGGTAGCCACTACAGCACAGGGGCGTGGACAGGGCGAGGGTGGGGACCCAGGGACACTGAACAGCACAGTCCCACAGGAGCCGGACGGACAGACAGCCAACCGCAGCCCCTCAGGCAGGTGGCCCCGGACCCGGCATCCACTCACATCACCTTACCCTTCACAGCCAGGGGCTCCTGGGGCTTCACGCTGGAGCCCACGTCAGCCCTGCTGCTCCTCAGGGTGGCTACTGGGCTCTTCCTTCCGGCCCGAGGGGGTGCAGAGGTCCAGGAGGGGGTCACCGCACTTGGGGGAGGCCTCGGCTCAGCCTTCAAAGGGGGCTCACTTCTTGCAGGGGGGCTGCAGGCTGGGGAAGACGGACTTGTCCCTGGCCCTTGGGCTTTGGGATGGGGATTTGGGAGAGATGAGGCTGGGGGCGGCCTGTGGGTGAGAGGTGGGCTTCAGACACAGCTCCACTCAGGAGCGCCCCCACCACGACACCCCCAGCAGAAGCTCCTCAGCCTGTGAGGGGGGCCCAGCAAGGGGTCCCAAGGCACTCACTGCACAGTCGGTGGCTGAAATACCGTCCTACTTGGATCTGGTGCCGGCTGAGATGAAGACACCCCCACACCCCACCCGCTGAGGCCAGAAGACCTGGGGCTGAGCCCTGGAGACTGCCCTGGGCCTGCCTAGCCCAGGCCTAAGGGACCAGCGGGCCTCGCCTCCCCCCAGGCTGAGTCCTCCCAATGCCATGTGCATTCAGTGACATCCTGCAATGCTGGCTGCTGGCACTCAGAACCCAGACCAGGGATGCTAGGCCCTCAGGCCAGCTGCTCCGTCCACAGTGGAGCCGGGCAGCTCCTCCTCTCTCCCCCATTCTCTGGGGCCAGGGTGGCCGGGCTGGGGTCCCAGGAAAAGCTGGGCCCCTCCAGTCAGACACCCTCCAAGAACACCCCCGGGGAGCCCTGGCCCACGCCAGACACCCCGGCCCACACCAGACACGCCGCCCCACGCTGGACACCCCGGCCCACGCCGGACACCCCGGCCCATAGGAGTGGATGCTGTTATCGTTGTTAGGTACTGTCAACTCAGCTCCGACTCATGGTGACCTCCTGTATAACAGAATGAAACGCTGCCCAGTCCTGTGTCAGCCTTGTAATCCCTACAATACCCGAGCCCATCGCTGCAGGCACCGTGTCAACCCATCTTGTTGAGGGCCGTCCCCTTTTTCATTGACCCTCCACTTTACCAGATATGACATCCTTCTCCAGGAAATGGGCCCTTCTGACGTGACCAAAGTAGGTGAGACGAAGTCTGGCCATTCTCGCTTCCAAGGAGCATTCTGGCTGCACTTCCTCCAGGACAGACCTGTTAGTTCTTTTAGCAGTCCACGGTACTGTCAGCTTTCTGCACCAACACCACAACTCAAAAGCATCAACTCTTCTTCGGTTTCCCTTATTCATCGTCTAGCTCTCACATCCATATGAAGCGACTGAAAATACCATGGCTTGGGTTTGGCACATCCTAGTCTTCAAAGAGATATCTTTGCTCCTCAGCACTTGAAAGAGGTCCTTTGCAGCCAATCTGTCCAGGGCTACACGTCGTCGATGTCCTGACTGCTGCTTCCACTGGTGTTGATTGTAGAACCAAGCAATGGGAAGTCTTTGACAAATTCAATCTTTTCTCCATTTATCATATGCTACTTTTTGGTCCAGTTGTGAGGATTTTTGTTTTCTTTATATCGAGGTATAATCCACACTGTAGACTGTAGTCTTCAATCTTCATCAGTCAGTGCCTCTAGTCATCCTCACTTCCAGAAAGCAAAGTTGTGTCATCTGCGTATCTCAGGTTGTTAATGAGCCTTCCTCCAATCTTGATGCCACATTCTTCTTCATATAATCAAGCTTTTTGGATTATTTGCTTAGCATACAGATTGAATAAGTATGGTTAAAGGATACAACCCTGACACACTCCCTCGTTTATTTTAAACCATGCCGTGTTTGAACAACTGCTTCCTGGTCCATGTACAGGTTCCTAATGAATACAATTAAGTGTCTGGAATTCCCATTCTTCTCAATGTTATCCATAATTTGTTATGATCCACACAATCAAATGCTTTTGCATAGTCAATAAAACACAAGTAAACATCTTTCTGGTATTCTTTGCTTTCAGCCAAGATCCATCTGACATCAGCAATGATATCCCTCATTCCACATCCTCTTCTGAATCTAGCTTACGTTTCCAGAAGTTCTCTGTTAATATACTGCTACAACTGTTTTTGAATTATCTTCAGTAATATCTTATTTGCATGCAATATTAATGATATTGTTCGATAATTTCCACATTCTGTGGGATCACCTTTCTTTGGAATGGGTACAAATATGGATCTCTTCCAGTCAGTTGGTCAGGTAGCTGTCTTCCAACTCTCTTGGCATAGCCAAGTGAGTGCCTCTAGTGCGCATCCATTTGTTGAAACATCTCAATGGGATCTCAATGGGTATTCCATAAATTCCTGAAGCCTTGTTTTTTGCCAATTCCTTCAGTGCAGCTTTGACTTCTTCCTTCAATACCATTGGTTCTTAATCATATGTCACCTCCTGAAATGGATGAAGATCGACCAGGTCTTTTTGGTACAGTGACTCTGTGTATTCCTTCCATTTTCTTTTGATATTTCCTGCATTATTCAAAATATTGCCCATGAAATCTTTCAATATTGCAACTCAAGGCTTGAATTTTTTCCTCTGTTCTTTCAGCTTGAGAAATGCCAAGTGTGTTCTTCCCTTTTGGTTTTCCAACTCCAGGTCTTTGCACATTTCATTATAATAACTGACTTTGTTTTCTCAAGCTGCTCTTTGAAATCTTCTGTTCAGCTCTTTTATCTTGTCATTTCTTCCACTTGCTTTAGCTACTCTCCATTCAAGGGCAAGTTTCAGAATCTCTTCTGACATCCATTTTCATCTTTTCTTCCTTTCCTGTCTTTTTAATGACCTTTTGCTTTCTTCATGGATGATGTTCTTGATGTCATCCCACAATTCGTCTGGTTTGTGGTCATTGGTGTTCAATGCTACAAGCCTATTCTTTAGATGGCCTCTAAATTCAGGGGATATATTCAAGGTCATATTTTGTCTCTCATGGACTTGTTTTAATTGTCTTCAGCTTCAACTTGAACTTGGATAGGAGCAGTTGATGGTCTGTTCCACAATCAGCTCCTGGCCTTGTTTTGGCTGAAGATATTGAGCTTCTCCATTGCCTCTTGCCACAGATGTAGTCAGTATGATTCCTGTGCACTCCATCTAGTGAAGTCTATGTATATAGCCACTGTTTGTGTTGTTGAAAAAAGTTATTTGCAATGAATAAGTCATTGGTCCTGCAAAATTCTATCATGCGATCTCCAGCGTTATTTCTACCACCAAGGCCGTATTCTCCAGCTACTGATGATTCTTCCTTGTTTCCAGCTTTTGCATCCCAGTCACCAGTGACAGACAACGCATCTTGATTGCATGATCAATTTCAGACTGCAGATGTTGGTAAAAATCTTCAATTTCCTCATCTTTGGCTTTGGTGGTTGGCACATGAATTTGAGTAATAGTAGTATTAATGGGTCTTCCTTGTAGGTGTATGGATATTATCCTACACTGACAGCACTGTACTGCAGGACAGCTCTTGAAACATCCTTTGTGACGATGAATGCCATATCATTACTCTTCAATTTGTCATTCCCGGCATAGTAGATCAGATGCTGTCTGATTAAAAATGGCCAAAACCAGTCCATTTCAGCTCACTAAATGCCTAGGATATTGATCTTTATGCATTCCATTTCATTTTTGACAACTTCCAATTTTCCTAGATGCATGCTTCGCACATTCCACGTTCCGATGATTAATGGATGTTTGGAGTCCTTTCTTCTCATCCTGAGTCGTGCCACGTCAGCAGATGGAGGTCCCGAAGGCTTTACTCCGTCCACGTCATTAAGGTCGGCTTTACTCTGAGGAGGCAGCTCTTCCCCACTCGTATTTTGAGAGCCTTCCGACCTGAGGGGCTCATCTTCCGGCACTACATTGGACAATGCTTCAGGGCTATTCATAAAGTTGTCCAGTAATGTATCAGACAGTGTTTCTCTGCTATTCATAAGATTTTTCCTGGCCTCTTCCTTCTTCCGAGTCTGGCTTAGTCTGGAAGTTCCACTGAAACCTGTCTACCACGGGGGACCCTGCTGGCATTTGAAACACCAGTGGCATAGCCTCCAGCCTCACAGCAACACTCAAGCCACCGCAGTACGACAGACTGACAGACAAGTTCATCTCCCTTAGCTGTTTTAATCTGCTCTGCTCATTCCCTGGCCTCCCCTGCCCTCCTCGCTTACACGGCCTGCCCCTGGGACAAACACCCGCCTTCCGTTGTTCCCGGGCTGGCTTACTGTGGCCTGCCTTCATGCACACAGGAGTGGACACACAAGGTCAATCTTGTCCATGTCTGTGCCCACTGGGTACCCCTGCTGACCAGCAGAAGGGAGTGGTCAGGCAGCTCTGGGCCAGGGGCATCCTAGCCTGAGATAAGGGACAGCTGAGGCAGTGAGCTGTGTGTGAGTGGGCCTGGGACGGGAGCCCTCCACGGGGCTGCATGTGTTTGCCACCATCCTGCTGCCTACCATGGATGACCATCCTTTATTCAGTCAGCAAACGCCGGCTCACTGTTTCATGTGCAGGAGGCCTCGGCAGCACCAGGTAAGCTGAGCCTAGCTCGGAGTCGAGCAGGCTGGCACCTCCACCCGACCAGGCAACACTCAGAAAGGCAGAGGCCCCACCCCCACCTCTGCTTCCCCATGGACAGAGGGATGTGCCACGTCATGGAAGGCAGCCGCCGTGAAGCAGCGTACCCCAACATCACGTAATAACATCCCCGGCCCTCCTCCCAGCACGCCACACCCACTGCCTCCTCCCCCACTTCTCAGAGCCAGGAAACTGAGGCCTAGGGAAGCAGTCCCCAAGGACACACGGCCAGGGAGGGCTCAGCCAGGTCCCCTCCCAGGCTGGCTCTGGCCTCCCAGGTGCCATCGGTGGCACTCGGCCCCCTTCACCACTGACCTGCCGGGCGCCTCCACGAGCCGCGGAAGGGCCTCCCTGAGGAAGCTGAGTGCCTGCTCCCGGCTGCTGTCCCCTGCAGGTGTGTCCACTGGAGCCACCCTGCCCGGCGCCCGGCTGGCCGGGCTGTTGCTCGGGACCTGAAAGAACCTCTCCCGGGCCTGCTGGGTCCTGGAGGCCGAGGGCGTCCAGGCTGGAGGGTCCATGGGGCCCGGAGACACTGGGCTCCGGTTGGGTTTGGTCGGAGGAGCTGTTGTCCGAGGGGCCACCTGGACCTGTGGCACAGCTGGGCGGGGGTCCCGGGCTCGCAGGGGCCACACAGGTTGAGGCTTGGCTGTCACTGTACCCTGTGCCAGAGGGGGCCACCCCATTGGTGAACTGTTGGTCACTTGTGTGCTGGCCTTGAATGGGGGTCTGGTGGCCACAGGTCCCATGGGGAGCTGGGGCGTGGCAGGGCTCCCTCCATGAACATGAGAGGAGGCAGCAGCGGTGGCAGGAGGGTCGGGTGCTGACGGACCGGAACTTCGGGCTTCTGAGCAGCCCACCGTAGGCTCCCGGGCTGGCTGCCTGGCCTCCAGGCCTGCCTCTCGCGGCCTGTTACCCTCCTGGGCCTTCTGTGGGGTGCCGAGGGGCCTGGAGTCCACGGGGGCAGACCCTGACTGTTTGTGGGCCAGGCCTGGCGGCGTGGGGCCGGCAGAGACAGGGTGGTGGCTGGTGCAGACGAAGACACCTGGCTGCCCCGTCGCCCGGTAGGCACCTGAGTGCAACGTACCGGAGCACTCCTTACACCTGGGGGTGGGGGCACAGAGAAAACACGGGGAGCCCTGGCTCCATGTCTGCGCTCACTCACTCCTCACCCGCCTGTTCACCCGCTCTCGTTCTCCCTACATCGTGCCCTTAGAGGACCTGTGTTCACTTGTGTGGTCAGTCAGTCATTCACTCAACCAACACCTCTCCCTCACTTTGGTCTATTTTATCTCACTAGGGCCGTAGACGGAGCTCTGGTAGCATAGTGCCTAAGGCACTTGACTGCTAACCAGAAGGCAGGTGGTTCAAACCCACCAGCCACTCCTTGGAAGGAAGATGGGGCAATTTACTTCCATAGTGGTAATGCCTCGGAAACCCAAGGAGGGGTCACTATGAGTTGGGTCTGACTCGACAGCACATAACAACAACAGGGCCGTAGACACCCCAGAAATGCTTGTGTATGTAACCCAGACAGACAGACAGGCTGCCCTGCAGGGCCCTTCAGGGCCTGACCCTTCCAGGCCTTGCTGAATGTTAGGGGAATAAAAATAAGGACCCTTAAAAGCTTGCAAGCAGCCCTCTAAGGCACAAAGATTGGCCTCAATCTGCCTGGAGCAGCAGGGGAAGGCAAGGCAGGAGAGGGAGGGGCTGGAACACGTGGCTAACACACTCAATGACAACTGCCCCCTGTGCCATGAGACCAGAACCGATGGCCCAGCTGCCAGTACTGCACATTTTGGGCAAATGTTCCATAGACAAATCCTGATCAAAAGGGGGAAAATGCAGAACAAAATTTCAAATTTCCATGGACTCCAGACTTCCTGGATCCAGGAAGGGTGTGTGAACCCCAAAACTATTACCCTGAGATATCTTTAAACCAAAAAGATCCCCGAAGTCTTCTTAAACCCACATAGGAGTTTTGCTTAAGTGGTAACAGAGGTCTGCCCTGCGCAGTGTGCTCTTCCAAGGTCTGGCTACATGCGATCCAGTGGCAAAGGAGATGGGAAGCTGCCGGGCAGTGAGACTAGTCAGTAAGGGAGGGACTCAGGGAAGGAGGGCAGGACGTGCTGCTGAAGTGGACACACGAACTACTGAGTGGGTGTGCGTTTTGCAGCTGCGCTCCCAACAACAACGCAGCCATGCAGTGCTGTTAAATAAGCAAACCAAGGAAGGAGCCTGGTCTCCGTTAGCCCCCAGGCCCAGGATGCACAGGCACTGGGGAGGGGGAACACAGACGGGCACAAGATAAAAAGCCTAATACAAAGTGCTCCCAGCTGTAGAAGGGAGATGGAGGTACCTGGAGAGGCATCAGGGAGGACTTCCTGGAGGTGGTGTTGGAGGATGGCTAAGCTGAGCGGGAGGGACAGAGGCCTAGTGGTATCGGGGAATGGCTGGGCATTGGGGCTAAAGGAGGGCACGTGGCCAGATGGGAGGGCCTGGGGCACAGTTCAGGTGACGGGAGGGCCTGGGGCACAGGACGCACCTGAAGCAGTTCCGGTGGTAGAGCTTGCCGTCCACCAGGTGTCGCTGCACGAGGTGCACATGCCTGCCGCACGCCACGCAGGTGCTGCTGACAGAGCCTCCAGCAGGGGCCGAGCCCTTGGGGAGGGGTGATTCCAAAGTGGCTGGAGCCCAGCCGACACTTCCGAGCCCCCCATCCTCCAACCAAGGGCCAGGACAAGTGCTCTAATCCCACCCTCCTCGGAGCCACCTTCAGACTGACAGCAGGTGGGTGGCACCTTACAGAGAAGAGGCCAGGGCTCCAGAGGCCAGGGGCCCAGGGGGGCCAGACCCCAAGTCAGAGCCTCTAGCCTGGCCCATGGGGCCCTCTAGCCTCAGGGCCCTGTCCGGGACCAGGGGCCAGATTCTAGCCCCCTGTTTTCACCCAACCGTCCAGGGCTGGAAATCCAATCAAGTGCCGAGTTTTGCTCTAGTTCCATGGAGCCGGGTGTGGCAGCCACCGGGCAGCAGGGGCACCCAGGCACAAGCCAGCCCCCAGCCTCAGTCTCCGCCTCTGAAATGGGGTCTCCTACACCCCTTGGCGGGAGCTCTGGTGGCGTAGTGCCTAAGGCATTTGACTGCTAACCGGAAGGCTGGCAGTTCAAACCTACCAACCACTCCTCGGAAGAAAGGTTGGGCAATCTACTTCTGTAGTGATACTGCCTTGGAAACCCAAGGAGTGGTTGCTATGAGTCAGATCTGACTCGATGGCAGTGAGTTTGGTTTTTGGTTTTTACACCCCTTGGCAGGGCTGGCCTGAGGAACACAGGCCACACCCGGCATCCCCTCCTGGTCCTGCCCCAGGAACCAGCCTGGTCAGAGGCCAGAGCCCCAGAAAAGCCTGGCTCCAAAGTTCAAACTCTGTTCAGCCCATGTGCCTCAGTTTACCCATCTGTAGAGTGGGGCCACAGTGCCCACTGTGCTGGACTGAAGCAGCCCAGCTTGTTAAGGGGGCTCTTGTTAAGGTGGGCTCTCGTTAAGGCGGGCTGAGGCTTTGCCCCAGGGGAGACTCCTGCAGCCTGCGCTGTTTGTTTTCAGGTGCCCCTCCCACAAGCCCCCTCCAAGGGGAGCTGGCGGAAAACCCAAGACAGCAGAGGACAGGCAGGGGTGCTTACAGGCTTTGGTGGAGTGTCCCGTGCCGCCGCCGCCCTTCCCTGGACCATGGGGTTGGTCCTGGCTGGGGACAGTGGCGGGCCCCGGGCTGGGCTGGGCGAGGGCAGCTGGGGGGTTAGGGCTTTCTTCCCAGACGGTTCCACCGTGGAGTCTGACAGGGGCCTCTTTATGCCGGCCATGCCTCCAACTGGCATGAGAGACAGGAGCGGGTGAAGGGGTCTGGCCTGCCCTCCCTGCGCTGGTCCCCTGGGAGGCACCCACAGGGCAAGATGAGCCCACCCCTCTTACTGCCTCGGGGGCCAGTTGGCGGAGGGGTGGCCCCGGGCAAGGCCCTGACCCCCTTCCTTCTCCCCATCCACCCCCCAGAGCCCCATCGGGCTGGGAAAAGGGACTTTCTGTTTCCGTGAGGGGGCACGGGGGGGGGGGCTGGCTCCTTGCCAGTGATTCCGGGGATTTCTAAGGCCCAGGATGAGGAATGTGGGGGCGGGGAGGGGCTGGAACAAAGGGCACTGAACGGGGCTGGGGAATCTGGGCTTCCCTCCCGGCTCGGTCCACCCTGCCAGGGCTGGAAGTCAGACACAGGGACGCGGTGTCTGGAGCCAGGCTTGGGGGCCCTGGGGGCTGTCAGGCTACCACAGCAGCAATGGGCACAGAGTGGCCGGACTCAGATGGGCACACAGAGGCCGGGGGAGCTGTGAGCACCGAGGAGGGGGCCAAGCCCAGTCTGCTCCAACAGGAGATCCCATTGGGAGGGCTGGGGGGGCCCGGGGGCCTTCTCACCACCCGTAGGCAGGACAGGGGTCCAGGTCCTCCCCACCTCGCAGAGAGACACAGCCCTGGGGGCCCCAGAGGAGCCATCAAGGCCTCGCCCGTGCTTCCTGGGCTGGCGGGCAGCCAGGCATGGCGCACCCACAGAGGGGCCAGGGTGCTTGGGTGGCGGCAGCAGCACTCACTGGGGGAGCGCCCGTGGAAGTAGTTGTAGTACTGCGACACGTAGGTGAGGATGCTCAGCCTGTCGGGCACCTTGAGGGCCACCATGTCCTCGGCGTCCAGCAAGGCCGGGATGCCCAGCTGTTCCTCAGCCACACGGAAAGCCTGGTGGGCGGGGGCAGCAGTCAGCCAGCAGGGCCGGCACGGGACCCCTCCCTCTCCCCCTGCAGAGCTCCCAGGTTCAGTTCTGCTCGGCCGGCCCATGGGCGTGAGCCTCGGTTTACCCATCTGTAGAATGGGGCCACGATCCCACCCCTGCCAGGCTGAGGAGCTCAGGTCCCGGGTCGGGGTCCTCTTGGTAAGGGAGGGCTGAGGTTTTAGGGACCCATGTCCCCTTGAGACTACCCAAAACCTGTCACTCACCCCTGGCTGCACAGCCCTGGCCGACACCAGATCTTGGATGGTATGAGCACTGGCCAGACCCCACTGAGCCCTCCCTAGGCCTATAAGGGACACAAAGGTGCCCCGAGTCCTCACAGCCAAGGCAACAAGGGAGGGCTCTAGGGCTCTGGGCTGAGGCTGGGGTAAGACACACTGTGCGGGGGGCAGCCGCATTTGTGTAGCACTGAGTGCATGCCATCACACAGACCTCAGCCAGTGGCAGCTGCCTCTTGTCCCCACCACACACCCTCCCTCACCCCAAGAGCATTGGCCCCCACGACCTCTGATTCCACTGGGTCCCCAACTCCCGAGCCCACAGCTCAGCACCCGGGAGGGGCTGGGAAGAACCAACAGATGGGACGGAAGCCCGGCCAGGCCCGGCCAGGATCCTGCTGCCCTCCTCCACATCCCTCCCCGTTCCTTCCCGGGCTGACTCCAGGGCCCATCCTTCCAGGGCACCCATGCCCTGCCCCCACCCTGGCCCAGCAGACCCAACTGGGTTCAGAGAAACAATAACTGGACCCGCGGCTTCCCACCTGCATGCGCCAGGGTGGCCTCTGGGCCAGGACCCTGGGGGTAGCTGAGAGCCGCCTGGGACCCCGCCTCCCTCCCCGGCTTCTGCCCCCCCCCACCTCGCCTGCAGCTGCTCCCCTGGTCAAGCTCAGGGCACCACCTTGCTCCTCAGGACTTGGGCTATCAGCAGCCAGAGGAGACCCCCAGAGACGCCCCACACACCCACGTCGCTGCATCAGGTTCCTGGCTTTTCTCCCTCCCCACAAGTGACCTGTGCCCAGCTCCGATCGCACTGGGCCCTAAGGCCCACCTTCACTGACACTGAGCTGCCGCCCCTGCCCTGCTCTCTGCTGCGCACCCTACTTTCTGCATGAGGTCCCTGTTCTGGGACATTCCGGGCAGCCTTGCAGACATGTTGTAACTCCCTCCATTTCAAAAATAAAAGTCACCTGTTGACACTGCTTAGGAGCTCTGGTAGCATAGTGCCTAAGGCATCTGATTGCTAACCAGAAGGCTGGCGGTTCAAACCTACCAGCCACTCCTCGAAAGGAAGATTGGGCAATCCTACTTCCATAGTGATATTGCCTCAGAAACCCAAGGAAGGGTTGCTGTGAGTTGGGACCAACTTGACGGCAGTGACTTTGGTTTGATTTGGTTTACTCTGGAAGGAGCCCACGAATTCGCTGCCCGCCACCTTCCCCACTACGAGTCCCCTCGGCACCCAGGGCCCCCACCCGCTGCTCCCCAAAGGCCCCAGCCACCTCGTGTTTCTCAGTCCGGTGTGCAGACCATGGCCTGGCCTCCCTGGGCTATGACCCCCAGACCCGCCGGCTCCGGTCCCTGCTGCTTCCTCCTGCCTTGACTCTGAGCTTGGCTTGTTCTTCCCCTACTGCCGTCCCCCCACAATTTCTCGCTCTCACCGCTCCCCAAGCCCCTGCTGGACCCCACCCAGATGTCGGCAGCAACACCTGCACATGATTGTGCCCAAGATGGGGCTCCTGGCTGTTCCCAGACCTGGTCCCCCACACCTTCAGCCCACGCTCAGACCCCTACCAAACCCACCCAGATCGCCACCCCCTGCACCTCCACCACTGTGTTCCGAGCACCATCCCGTCACCTCCCTGCCCTCCCCCACACACCTGGCCCAGCTCACCCTCCGTATTCCTCCCAGAAGCTGAGAGGCCCTGTTAACCCAGGGGCTGCTCCCGGTCACTCTCCCCGGGCGCCCCCACGCTCCGCCCACTCCCCAGCCCCGCCCTCCCTCACCCACTGGGTCCAGCGCAGCTTCCTCGCTGCTTGTCCAACAAACCTCAGGGCCTTTGCACTGGCTGTCCGTCTTCCTGCAAGTCTCCCTTCCCTCTTCTTCCCCAAACGTCACCCTGCCCTACTCTATCTGCACCCACGTTATTCCAACACAAGACACCATTTCTGGGGGGTCCGATGGGCTTTCTGTGGGGACAGCGGGCAGGTCCCGGTCAAGTGACACAGCTGGCCTGGCCACGTGGGGCTCTTCCCACTTGAAAGGGGGCCACTGCTTTTATTTTATTTAATGTAATGAGTTTTAATTCAGCAGCAACAGGTGGCGGGATAATGCCGCCCTGGGCAGCACAGGTGGCCAGGTATCTGCTCACTGCCTGCCGCCCACCCCATCGTGGGACACCGGCCCCAGGGGCGGGGGGGGGGTCAGCAGGAGGCCAGGACGAGATGCTGCCTTCTGCACGTCAGCCCAGGGCAGACAACGGAGCTGAGTTTGCAGCAGGGGAACCTGAGGCTGGGCACGGGGAGGGGCCCGCCCAAGGCCCACGGCCGGGAAGGGCAGGGCAGGACTTGGGCGCAGGCCTGCCTAACTGCAGGGCCGCAACGGGTGCGGCCAGGCCGGGCGAGGCCACGGGCTCAACACACGGGCTGGGATTCAGCAGCTGGGCCTTGGGTGGGCTGGGCTGGGCCGCCGCAGGGAAGGAGGGTCACCGACTGTGAGAAAAAGGGGCTAGCAGAGGCCACACTGCAGCACCAGGGTCTTCCTCCGGAAGTTTGGGACCAGGACTCACGGACCGGGATTCCCTGTGGAGCCTCAGCACTTGGCAGCAAGGGGCCTGCGGGAGGCCGACCCCTCGGGTGCCCGGTGGCCCCCTGGACGGAGGTGGACGCGGCAGGGCCGAGGCCCAGGGCTGCGGGGAGTGGGGGGAACTCACCAGCTTGTTGTTTTCATAGACATTTTCCTTCCTGAGAGCATCAAAGTCTCTACAAGACAAAGACACGTGCGTCCAATGCTGCTCAGATTCCAAAAGGCAGGGCCTGGGAGGACCTCTGAGATCACTTTGCCGAAAGAGGGAAACTGAGGCCGGGGTAGGGCCACACAGCAGATGTGAGGATGGCAGGGCCTCAGTCCAGGCTGGGCGCACCTGACCCGCTCTGCCCAACACCCCCGCCACCCAGCCCAGCCTGGCCTCCGGAGGCCCGCAGGGGCCTGTGCCCACCCACAGCCCCATCCTCATTAGAGGGGCAAGAGGCAAGCCCACAGAGGCAAAGCCACCAGCCTGGCAGCCCAGCCAGGACACAGCTCCGAGTGGCCAGCTGTCCCCTGGCAGCTCACAGGAAGGGGGCCCAAGGGCTCTGTGACCGAGTTCAGGGTACCCCCTGCTTTGTTCATGGAGGTGGGTGCAATGAATGCCCCCATTTCCCAGATGAGGAAACTGAGGCCCAGAGGTCCAGTAACTTGCCTGGGGTGACACTTTGGAGAAGGGAGGACTCAAGCCTGGGCCGCGTGCTCTGGGGCCAAGTGTTCAATGTTAGATCGTGTGTTCGTTCACAGAGTGGCTTTGTCAGGCTCACTCAGTGAAGGGATGTGCCCTGAGGGCTGGGGACAGCAGAGCCCATGGCCCCCAACACACACACGCACGCACACACACACACACGCGCGCGCGCGCGTGCACACACAGCATGGCAGGCATCCCAGAAAGGCCAAAAGCATTGAGCATTTTAAGAGGAAGGAGAGGCTGGGGCCACAGAGGCCGCACGTCCTGCCACACACAGGGTGCCAGACGCAGATGGCCACATCCCGCCATGTGCAGAGGGTGCCGTGAGCAGCAGCCCGCGCGGCCCAGGCATAGCTAACGTCCCTGGTGTTGGGGCTGGAACTTGGACCTGTGTGTCTGTCCACCTTGCTCTGTGGGTCCCGCAGGGTGGCCTAGGAGAAGGGACCTGAGCTAAGAGTCAGGACTGCCCAGCCGGGCCTAGAGGCTGGGGCCCAGGCAAGCCCTCCGGGGCCTCTCACCATCGGGACAGCCCCTGAGCCTCTGCGGTGAGTGTGAGGCCCAGGGCAGCAGACAGGAGGGCCGGCTGGCCCCGAGCGGACAAGGCAGAGCCGAGACGGCCTGGTCTGAGCCCAGCTGAGCAGCAGAGTCTGACGCCAGAGCAGGTCCCAGAGTCCTGACCTCACGGTTACTCTGAGGCCCAACCACAGGCCCGTTTTACAGATAAAGACATTGAGGCTGAGGCGGGGATGTGTGGGATGGGGCCGCGGTTGGGGCCTCCCTCCCAGCCCCTCCCCACCCTCTGCATCCTGCCCTGCCATCCATCAACCTGCTCAACTTCCACAGGAACGGCCGACGTTCCCACTGGGACCCTCCCAGGTAATGAGCTCCAGATGTCCAGACCACCGGCCAGCACAGGCAGTGAGCTAGCTCTACTCGGACACAGGCGCACTGCAGGGGAGGCGGGTGCAGAGAAGCCCTGCTCCTACCCGGACGCCTCTGGCCAAAGCCCGGGCCCTGCCACTCTCCCTGGGTCTGCCCCAGACACCAAGTGACCACAAGTGGCCCCAGGGCAGAAGAGGGGGTCTCCCCACTGAGCCCAAGAGCCCTGGCCCTGCCCTCAGCCTCCCTGTGGCCCCAGCCCTCTCCCCCAGCCCCACCCCTCTAAAGCCCCAGCTCTTCTTGCCTGGACAGCGCCCAGCTCACTGCCGAAGGCGGCCCAGCCAGAAGTTGCAGGGTTACAGGCTCGGTTTTACCCCTAAACAACACGGGCGGAGCCTCCTTGCTGGCTCTGACTGGCCCTCGCGGGGGCCGCATCCCCCATCCCAGATGGACCCAGAGGAGTCCCTCCAGCCCGTTGGCCGGTCTCCCTCACAGGCCTGGCAGTGAGCTCCAAGCTCCAGACAGAGCAGGACACTCAGGACAAAGGGGCCAGGCCACCCTAGGCAGGGTCTCTACTTCACAGAACGTGCCTCTGTAACTCAAGTCTGAGGACCACCACGTCTCAGGGCCAAGTCCCAGGTGCTTCCTGGACACCCCCCCCCCAGGCTTCCTCAGGCGAGGGGCGGTATGTGTATGGCTGAACTGCCCTGGCTGGCCTCACGACCCCCAGGCCTCTCTCAGCCTCTGACCTACACCCAGGTAGCCTTCCCATGTCTGCCTGATGTCCTCCAGACCCCTCTTGGAGCCCACAGTGGACCCCGTCCTTGCCTTGAGGTGGTGGGGCCAGTGGGCGGCCAGCACCACTTCATGCTCCTGGACCTGGACTTGGGCAGCGTAGGCACCTGAATTGCCAGGCTTGAAACTGCCTACTTGGAGAGCACCTCCTGAAGCCCACCTCAGTCGGCATCCCCCAGCACAGGGAACGGCCCGGGCAGGCCCCAGGGAGACGGCTGGCCTGCACTGGGGGCCTCCTGGACAACAGTGCCCGTCTGGGCAGCAGCCTCGCCCACTGCAGGAGCAGCTGCCCCTCGGTGGGTGGCCAGGACACAGAGGGCCTTTGTTGCCACCACCCTGAGCCTGCTCCTGGGTGGGCTGGGGCCGAGGGCCGCCCTGGGAAGTTGAATCTCCAACATTTGATACGGGTTCTGGTCTGGTGCTGCTGGTGCAGCAAGGCAATGGGGTTCTCTTCCTATATGGGCACTCTGCACATGGCCTTGTAACCCCCTCAAAACGACTGGGTGGGGCTATGCAAATAAGGTGCGTGCGGCCCACCAATGGCATCGCTCATTCTGCCATCCCATTATGTGAAAGAACAGCCAATCCCAGAGGTCGAGGGGGGCCCACTACCATCAAGAAGAACCAAGAACAGAGCACGCCCTTTGGGTTGGGGGCCCCTGGGCTGAGCGCCACGTGCACCCAGGATACAGAGGGCTCCAACACTGGAGACGGTGCGAGACAGCAGAGCTGCAGTGGGCTCCCCGACCCACACCCACGGGGCCAGGGAAGCTGAGCACCTCAGGCAGGAGCCTGCGGGGGGAGTGGGGTGCCGCCAGGTGGCGCTAAAGAGCCGGGACACCCATCCAAGCAGTGCAGAGGCCCCAGCGAAGCCGCCTGCCCACGTCCGGCCGAGGAGCTGACCGCAAAATCTGCCCTGACTGGCTGCTTCTGTCTTCCCAGCCGTCCTCATTCCCATGTTGACCCTGATCCCAAGTCCCTTCCGGAATAAACCCCATAACCATGAGCATGGTTTGTGAGCTCCGTGTGGCCACGTCGGAGAGGCAGAGTGCTGTGTGATCGGTAAAGAGGGTGGAGGGTGGCAGCAGGTCCGGCCTCCGCCTCATGAGGTCCAGCCCTGGTCTGACTGTGATTCTCCCTGCCTCCTTCTGACGGACGGAACCATGTCACTGAGGGGGCCGGACACACAGGTGGTGTTCTCGAACGCGGGTGGATGGACTGGTCCGTCCGACGCTGAGAGGAGACTGGCCAAACGAATGCATGGGGTTCTGCGTCAGGCAGCATGTTATCGCGAACATGCTCAGCTGCTAGACGAGAGGCCGGCGGTTTGAGTCCACTGAGGAGCCTCGGAAGAGAGGCCTGGAATCTACTTCCAAATAATGAGCCCCTGAAGCCCTGTGAGCCCGGCTCTGTCCCGACACGCGGGCCCCACCTGCGTGAGACCCCACGGGGCCCGGCTCCGCCCCGACACGCGGGCCCCACCGGCGTGAGTGGAGGCCTGTGTGTGGCTGGGATGCTGAGCAGGTCCCAGTGGAGCTTCCAGACTGAGAGAGACCAGGAAGGAAGGGCTGGGAATCACTTCTGAAAACCAGCCACGGACACCCTGTGGGTCACAGCCCAGCCTCCTACCGCCGATCCCAAACAGACCACAGGCAGGCCCAGGACCGGGCAGCGTTTCATCCTGTCGTGCTGGGGTCACCATGAGTAGGGACACTCCACGGCTCCCAGCAACAACACATATCAAACACTCACAGTGGCCGCCTGCACCTCCCACCAGGCCACAACTGACCGTGACCACTGGCCTCAGTTTGCTGACTCAGCGCTCCAGGAATTTGGGGGACGTCCATCCCCAAGGGCCAAGAGGCATGCAGTCATTTCCCGGAACCAGAGGCGGCCTGAGAGGTGGGGGTGGGGGTGTTGGGGGAGGGGCTGGCAGGGGCTTCTGGGCCTCCAGCACATCTGGAGTTAATCCCACTGGGGGGGGGGGGTGCAGAGAGGCAGAGAAGGGAGGCAGAGACAGACGGACAAAGACACTTACAGGCAGACAGACAGACTAGGAGAAAGAGAGACACAAACAGAAAAAGATAACAAAGAAAAAAACAAGAGACAGAGACAGAGATGGAGGGAGAGATAGAGACAGCAGGAGAGAGACAGACACAGAGAGATGGAGACAGAGACAGAGGGAGTCAGGCAGAGACAGACCACAGGACAGACATGGGAACCAAAGGGCACAGACACACGGCCAGGCCAGCACAGAGAAAACCCAGAGAGAGCAGTGCTGGGATCAGAGCCCAGGGCAGGCTGGGAGAAGGGGGACAGGAGCAGCAGGAGGGGGACAGTGCTGGGGACACCGCCAAACAGGCAACTGGAAGGTGCCCTGCAGACGGGCAGGGAGGAAAGGGCTGGGGTAGGGGCAGGGCCAGTCCCTGGGCCCCTCTTCTTCTTCTTTTTTTTTCAATTGTGATTTGGGTGAAAGTTTAAATTCACTTTCCATACAGCAGTTCACACACATGTTGTCTCATGACATTGACTACAATTTCCCCCATTGCAACAGCTCCCCTCCCACTTCCTCCTGATAGTTACCTCTTCCCAGTGTCCTTCCCGCCATGCACCCCTGCCCCCTGAGCTGTCTCCCTGTGCACACACAGCCCTTCTTTCTCCCATGATTGTTCTCTCCAAGGAGTCTATCTACCTCAGGTCAATGTTCAACTCATATGCCTGTCTTTTGTTTGGCTGGAAGCCACAGGTGTGAGTTCAATTCCAGACCTGAAGGGCAGCTAGGGCCATAGTCTCAGTGGTTCCACCAGGCTCCATCAGACCAGCAAACCTGGTCCCTTTTTCTTTTTTTTTTTAAATGGTTTTGAGTTTTGTTCCACATTGTTTTCCCTCTGTCCAGGGTCTCCTCCACAGATCCCCCTCTGAGTGGTTGACAGTGGTAGCTAGGTACCATCTAGTTCTTCTGGTCTCATAGTTGTATAGGCTGCAGATGGCATGGTGTACCAGTCGCTAGGACTAATTGTTTCCACGAATCTTTGGTTGTCTTCATTCTTCTTTGCTCTGGACGAGGAGAGACCCATTGTTGCATCTAGATGGCTGCTTGCAAGCTTTTCAGATCCCAGTCGCTACTCGCCAAAGTAGGTGGTGGAACAATGTTTTGTGTAGTATGTTATGCCAATTGAGCTTGATGTCCCCTGTGACTACGGTCCCAAGCCCACTGGTTCAACTACTCAGTCCCTCTGGGTAGCTGGCTGTGACCAAGAAGTGACTACAACCTTGTCCCTTGTCAGCTCTACTGTACCCCTGGGAATTCTTACAGAATATACAAATACACTTGTAGAACCATTGTCTGCCAGCCCTATACATGGTCTTGGGCATACTCTCTGCTGTGAAGACATACCAAATAGTTCGGCCTGTCCACCCATCTACCCACCCGCATGCCTGCGTTTGCCTTCACTGACAACGCAGTGCTGTGTGTGCAAAAGGGTTCATCTGTGTTGTCTGCACCTCCCAAGTACCTCTCTATGTCTTCCTCTTTCTCAGTTGGGGCCCTCTTCTCGCCCGCCATGGGCAGAGGACATACGTGCCCTGCCCCCCCCCCCCCGGGCTGGAGCAGACGCCGCCCCCTCCCACCCAGAGCAGTCCCTCCCACCAGCAGGGCCTGGCCCTGAGGTCCCACCCTGGGGGTCTGGTCAGTGTGGCGGAGGCACCATGCCCTGGAGGCCTCCTGGGCCCTGCAGGGTCCCCAGTCTGGGGCTGCCTGCCCCACCCCCTCCTTGGCCCATTCTGGCCAGAAGGCAGGGCCTGGGCAGCAGCCCTCGGGCCAAACAGAAAGCCTCTGTCCCCTGGTGGTTTCCTGCTGGCTGCCAGGACTGCAGGAGGTGAGCTCAGCCCATTTGACGGCCCACCCTCTGCTCTGGCCCCGGAAGGGACATGGTACTGCCTCTGAGCACTGGGGGGGGGGGTGTCTCCATTGCGACTCTCTCCTTGACCCCCAACTACAGGCGGGACTCAGGTCCTGCCACAGTCATGGGGTCCACCTCTGCCTTCTGCAGCCCTGATCTTGCCTCCGGAGCTGTGAGGGATCTCAGGGCAAGTGCATGCCACCCCACCACATGCCTGGGGGCCTAGGAGGTACCCAAGTCACATGGCCCTCCATCCTGAAACATCTCCAGGGAAGGCAGCTCCACAAACTCCTTTGGGGCCTTTCCTGTTCCAGACCCCATGTTCCTGTTCCCTCTTCCCTCTCTCCCTTCATCCCAGGCTCCCTGGCCCTGTCACCTGCCTCCTGCCTTCTCCACCTGCCCCAGGAACTGGAGCGGGCACCTGGGAGGAGCCTGGCACAAAGCCAGCACAGCCTGACTCTTTACAGCGGGCAGGGAGGGTGGGGCTGTTTGTCCGGGTGGCTCCAGGCTCACCTGGCCAACGGCGCAGGGGCTGGCGTCATTGGAGCAGAGTGTGCCTGCCTGGACTGTGGGAAGGGGTGTGCCTGCCTGGATTGTGGGAAGGGCCTGTCCACCCAGAACCTTCCAGACCTGCTTCAGAAAGTGGACAGGAGGGTGGAGCAGGGCCTGGCGGGGCAAGGGGCAGAGGCCAGAGAAAGAAATGGGCTGGGGGCAGGCAGGGCGCCCCCAGCCACCACTTCCTTGCCGCATGTCCCTGTTGTTGTTCTGTGCTGTTGAGTCGTCTCCGACTCATAGCGACCCCTCCTTGGGTTTCCGAGGCAGTATCTCTATGGAAGTAGATAGCCCAACCTTCCTTCCGAGGAGTGGCTGGTGGGTTTGACCCGCCAGCCTTCTGGTTAGCAGTCAGGTGCCTTAGGCACTGTGTCACCAGAGCTCCCTGAATGTCCTTGCATGAGCTAAAGAGAGGTCCCTGCCCACCTCACAGCCTCCTTGGGGCGTTACCCAATGCAGGGCACGCCTGCCACGGGGCAGCGACACAGTGGCCGTCAACTCCCAAGTCCGCATCCCTGGGCCTCAGCAGTTCAGGAACCTGGTGAGCGTGGCCGGAGGAGGCAAGAACAGGGGTGGGGGAGGGGCAACCGCTGCAGGAACTTGAGGTTCCCCACCTGGCTGCCCTGGGACTCCAAGAGGAAACGAGTTGCCACATGGAGGAGGAAGGACCCCGATGAGACAAAGGGAAGGACTTCCTGGTAGCAGAGCATAGAGATAGGAGACAGGATGTCCGTGTCCAGAATATCTTTAAAGGGAGACAATGGTGGGGAGAGTTTTGGGGTCCCATGGGGGTCTCACCCAGGTCAAGGTCAGACCTTGGGGGGGCTTCCAAGAGGACAGCCACTCTGCACTTGTCCTTTCTCCAGGTGTTTCCTGACCTTCCTGGTAGCCAGTGGGGGCCAGAGGGGCAGCTTAGGGGCTCTAAGGTTGGAGCGGTGAGGACAAGCAGGGCAGGACCCCTACGCCCGGCTGCCACCTTGCCCAGAGGCACAGCAGGAGCCAGGATGGAAGTGGTTAGGGGATCAAGGCACAAAGATGCTCACTTATCCATGCATGTTCACACCCACACACATATACACACATGTACATCACACTCACAGGAATCTCTCAACCAACAACACCCCCAAGCTTCTATCACACGATAACCTCAACTCCTACCCCTACCCCATAGGCCTGAGCCCTACCTCACGCCAACTCCCAAGCCCGTACCTCACACCCACACCCTAAATTCTTACCTCACACCAACATCCCTGAGCCCCTACCTCACACTGACACCCCAAGCCCCCCACACTGCTGCACACCAGCCACATCCCACTATCCATAGCACTCCAACTATGACATCTGCCAATCGTCTCTGTTCTGGGGCTGATGGACCAGTGGGGGGAGACGTTCAACAACCCCTGTGCTCTGAGTAAGTCACCTCCATGCCCGTGTACCTGCAGACAGTCGGGCCTGCCTTCCTCCACCTCCCCTCTGCCCCGGCCCTCACCCCTGCTGGGAGTCGCCTGGCACCTTCTCACTCACCTGTCCGCTGTCTGAGTCTGCCACTAGAACGTCCTCCCCACGATTGGGTCGAGGAGCACCCCCTGGGCAGGCACCCCCTGGGCTCTGACCCCTAGCAGAGCGGGAGCAGATAGGAACCCTCTGGGGGCAGAAAGCCCCCACATCTTGGGGCACCAGACCCCTATGAGCCTTCTGGGGCTCAGTCACCAGCCCTACCCAGAATCCTGCACTACAAGAGGGTCCCTGCCCCGGCCCCTATCAAAGCTCAGCACGGCACTTCCAGTGAGCCACCTGCCCCAGCATCTTGTTCTCCGAGGCCGACAGAGCCAGGTTCCTGGGCGGACAGAGGCCGTTACCACGTAGAGAATCCTCACAGAGCATTTCACAACTCAAGGCATGAGCCCAAGTCTGGGGAAGAACCCACAGCAGGCCTCCTGCAAGACTAGCTTCCCAGGGCTCGTGCCAGGACAGCCTCTGGGTGTGGGGAAAGAGCAATGAGCAAAGGCTTCCCATCTGAGCAAGGGGCCTGACTGAGGCTGGTTCCTGGAAGGGGCTGCCTCAGGCCCTGCGGCCTCCCTGCCCAACACACACCTCTTCCCACTCCCAGCTCCAGCCACGACTTCTCTAGGGAGGGTTCTTAATGTCATCTTTCTTCCAGAAGGTTCAGGAGCTGTGGATAGCCATCTGGAGACCCCCTTCCTGAGCCTCTAGGTACACGGTGTAGTGTCTTAGCCATTTAACACATTGTGAATTCATAGGCAGAGGAGCTCCCGGTCCCAGGCACTTACCCTCAGGGCGTTTGTTGAGTGACTAACAGAGGGGCCCCGCACTCATCCCAGGGCATTTGTTGAGTGAGTGACAGAGGCCGTCCAGTGGGAAGACAGCCTGGCCCTCCTTCCCTGCTCACGTCCGCTGGCCCCCACTCCCATCCCCACCCAGGGAGCAGAGGCGTGGGGTGTCCTGCTGGGCCTCAGGTCCCTGACCCACAGGGACGGCCAGCTGCACTCCCAGAGGTGTCTGAGCACCCTGAAAGGCCCAGGTGACTTTGGGCCCAGCTGAGGTCTCTGGGGGCCTGAAGGGCAGACCTGAGGCACTTTGAGGAAGGCGTGGGGAGAGGGTGCGGTCGAGGCCCCAGCCCAGGACACTTGCCTGAGTCACCACTGACTAAGACCTGCCCGGGAGGCACATGTCCCGGCTCCGGCTTCGGCTCCGCTGGGCAGATGGGTAAACTGAGGCCGTGGGGGCTGCCTGCCGACTCGGCCGGCCCGGCCCGGGGTGCTGCTGTTTCCCCAGGCCTCAGTTTCCCCGCCCGTGGGAGCAGCGGGGACGGGCACTCACATGAGGTCAGGCCGGTGGCGATGCAGGATGGCACAGAAGGCCAGGCCGTCCCGGAACGACGTGGTCATGTTGGCGATGCTCACGTCCCGGTAGCCCTCGCACTGCTGCCGGCACCACTGCTGCAGCGCTTTGATGGCGGCCATGCGGGCGGCGGCGCGC